AGATTCACAAATAAAAAAAAAACTTTCCCCTCTATAATTTCCTTTCTACTCCTCAGACCTAATGTGTGCTTAAACTGCTTTGAAAATCCTACCCTTTATGATGTCATAAGGGGAAATAAGCCATCCATAGTGGTCTGTAGAAGTCCATCGATAAAGCCTGGCCTTCATCTAATGTAGTATTCCACGCTCCTCGGCTATCTTTACTGTACAAACGCCAACTGGTTATCATGGTTGCGAGTTGGACAGCGGTGTGGAAAGCCCAAATGGCTCTTTTAGAAGAGGGCCAAATAAAGAGATTTTTGGTAAGAGGAATTTTCCTGCATGTAACAAAAACATGCTTTAGGTGTCATGGTTTTGGTTCTGTTCAAGTTTTATCTCTGAGTTTTCATTGGTCTTTTTCCATTCCTGTGTTCTAGTTATTTTTGATTGTATTTGAGTTCTTAGATATTTCTTGTTTGCCCTCTTGTTTCAGTCTCCTTTTCCCTAGCTCCCTTCCTGCCTCTGTTCACACCTGTACCCAATTTGCTAATTAGTCTGGTCTTTGTTTCTCTCTCCTATTTATTCTCCTCCTGTTCAGTCACTCTTTGCTGGTTTGTCATCATTTCTTTGCCCCATTTTTTGTGAGTATTCCTGGTCTTCAGTATTTTTTCAGATTTTTGTGGATTTATGTTTTTTGGATGTTTGCTTCTGTTACCCTTTTTGTCATTAAACCTTCAAGTAACCACCTCAAGCTTTTGTGACCGCATTTGGGTCGTGTCAAACCACCACTTGACACTAGGGGCCTCATTGTTAATTTCTCTTTATTTTAAAATGCAGAATAATTTGAGATGGTTAAGTTCTACACAGCGGTGCAGTGGGTAGCACTACTGCCTTGCAGCAAGAAGGCTCCGGGTTCGATTACCGGCCCGTGGTCTTTCTGCATGGAGTTTGCATGTGCATGTGTGGGTTCTCTCTGGGTACTCCTGCTTCCTCCCTCTATCAAAAAACATGACTTTTAGGTTAATTGGCTTCTATAAATTCTCCTTAGGAGTGAGTGTGTGTCTGAAAAGTTGTTTGTGCCATTTGTCTTTTTGTTGCCCTGCGATAGACCAGCGACCTGTCCAGGGTGTACCCCACCTACCTCCCATTGACAGTTAGAGATAGGCACCAGCACCCCTCATGACCCCATAAGCTTGTCAGAAAATGGATGGATGGATAACTATGGAGTGTCACTGGGGGGTATAAATGAGAAAGGGACACCATCTTATCCCCAATGGAAAAGGAAAGTAGCCGTTGCTATGGTAACGTAGTCCCAGCCCATGTGCATTGCTGTAGCTCTTTGGCGCAGGTTGACATTACATCAAACATTTCCCTCTTTCTTCAAAGTAAATGTATATGGTTAAATAAACCATAAGCAACTTTTGCCACTGTACATTATAGTAGTTTCAGTCAGCATATGTTTTTCATACCATCTGATAAAATCAATGAAATAAAAAGACACTTGGTAATATCCCACCTACCTCTAAAACCTTTGAATTACTTGCAGCATTATGCCCAAACCAATGCTACGCAGACATTAATCATTAACAGGAGGACATTTCTAACTTTATCAAACACTTTTCCACAGCTAGACCAGAAGTGCTGTACAGATTAAGTTAAATTAATTAAGGACAAATAACATATACATCATTAACTTAACCAATTCCAAGGTTTTAAGCAAAAGCTTGAGAAAATAGTTTTGTTTTGTTTTGTTTTTTTATTTAAAACATTACTGAGAAAACCTGGCTTATGTGCAGGAGCAGACTTTTTCAAATCCTTCTAAATCCATCTAAAGAGAGGGTACAGTCTCCCGAGCCACTGCCTGGTTCTTTGCCTCCTGAAAGAGGCAGCAGTTTAGCAGATCTGACATAACGAGAAAAAAAATTATAATATGGCTGTAAAAGTACAGAACGGTGGTTTGTGGCAAAACCAAATGACAGAAAAAAGCAAAAAACTGCATATAGGCAACAAAGGACCTTGCTGTCATCTACTGTAGCTGTGTAGGGACAAAGGCATGAGTTACTGTGTCAAGAAAGCTTTGCAGAAAGCATCAGCTTTATTTCGGAAAGAAAGTGAGATTTGACAAGAGCTTTAATTTGGCCTTCAAAAGTAAATTCTCTTTAAAACTAAGGTTAGTTTATGTTGGCTTCACTTACTGGCTAAGTAACCCAGATCTTAAAGCAAGCTTTCTAAAATGCCACCATTGACAGTTAAAACATTCAATGAACTGTACAACTTTTAGAGCATATTAATGTATGTTTTTATAATTATTATGTTGGTTCTAGCAGTCTTACTTCAAAAGCTGGTGGATAGAACATTGGAAAGAGAGAGATGGGAGGGAAAATGTACAGAAAATGTCTCTGGGTTGCAATTTGAACCTTTGTTGGCCACATCTGAGGACTAAGGCTTCTAAACATATGTTGCCTGCTTTACCCACCTCCACACCACTACTGCGCCCCTTTAAGATCAGTTTTCAATAAAAGCAAAGTTGTCAAGCTGTCGTCCATTGTGGCGTTGTTCCAGCTCCCCTCAAATGTAACAGCTCATCTTGGTTGTACTGGAGCGTTAAATTAGGGCAGTCACAGTTCAGGGAAAATGTTGTTGGAGGGTTTATCTGTGAGCAGTTATTCTTGCCTTACTTTTCAAACACCCCTGCAGAACATTTAGCTCACATACCTCTGGATTTTTTGGGGTGTAAGCCACAACTCTTACATATCACAACGATATAAACTTTTAACTGCTAAAATAACTCCTTGGAAAATGTAACAAGTGTTATAAGAGCCATCATTGCTTTTTCCAAAAAGCGGAGTAAAGGTAAAATATTTTTGGTAATGTTACTGTTGCACATGATTTGTTTTGCAACCAGTAAAGACTTAAGCAACTACACTCTTAAAAACTGTCATCAGTGTAGGAAGTTTGAGCAAGAGAATAATTTATTACAATCATTTATTTCAATGGCATTGATTCATCTAGTTTTCTGCCTTATTCATTAGTCAGTTTGGTATGTGTGTGTATTTATGTGCAGTCCAAGGACACTGAATGAGATAATTGGAGATGACGGATATCCTCACAGTTATAATTGTGTCATTACCAGCCTGTGGAACACGATCATTAGTCCCTGTGGTCTGTGCTGTAATTAACAGATTGGCAGTTGCTTAAGGGAAGAGAAGTTTCTGTCCCTGTCCAAACTGCTAAAGCCAAGCCTACACCCTATGGAGAAAATTTCACTTTTTAAGCTATGCCCTGTGTCTTAATTGATGGGATCGACTCCTCAAAAGGTTGTATATAACAACAATAACATATGGATTGTCCTCACACACAAATATGTGGATCCAGAACTCTCCTAGTATCTGTCATTATTTATCCTGTATTTTAAACCCACTAATGTATATACAGTATATATATATATATATATATATATATATATATATATATATATATATATATATATATATATACACACACACACACATTATTACTCTGTGTTTATGTATACCAATATATACATAGTTTTTGTGCACTAGTAAATAAATATTTATTATCCTGTATAGCACTTCTGGATAGATGCAAACTACATTTTGTTGCTTGTACTAGTGACAGTGTAACATCAATAAAGTTACAATTGATTTAAAAATGTATTTATATTTCTAGACCTCTTCATATTTTATAATGTTTAAGCCTCAGATTTTACTGGATTTCTTGAGATTCTATGTAATACAACATTATTTCTTACCAATAAAATTGTGGTATGCATTTATATTCAGTTCCGTTGAGTCAGTAATTTGAATGACCAGCTTTGGACATCTCAAAAGTCTTGCCCATTCTTTTTTGGACAATACCTTAAGGTGAGACTACTGAACCTTAAAAGGAATAAGGTCTTGATTTTAATTAGGAGATTCAAACTAAAATATCTTACTATTTCAACACTAGCACTGGCTGTATGTTTAGCATCATTATCCAGCTGAAAAATAACCCTCTAGCTGTCTGATTTTAGCAAATTTACTTAAGAGGTGTGTTTAGTCCCATCCTCTCATCTACTTTGACCAGTTTCCCTGTCCCTGTTAAAGAAGAACAGAAGCCCCTGACATACCAGCATGATATTTATGTTGTACTGGTAAGAGTTAAACCCAGTGCACCAAAATGAAAAACAAACACCAATACACAAGACAAATAGCTTTAGTATTCCTATGAATGCACACATCATTCCAGGTTATTATTAAACAGGGCTTATTTTATGTCTTTTCAATGGAAATTTAGAAAAAAAAGCACCTGTAAGTCAGTCATAAAAAACTCAATGAAAACATGCTACATATATAATATATCAGTCATGTAGGAGGAAAAATACAGCAAACAAATTCAGCTTAATGTGTTTGGTGTGTTTGAATGATTTTATTTGAGCATAAGTTAAATGATGAGAACAAAACAAGAGCAAACCTTATCCAAAATAAAAAAAAGGAGTAGATTCAACACACAAACCACAATAAGTTATTTCCACAGTGATGTGATGTTGTTCATGCTGAATAATGGGGGACAATTGGAATGTTTTTTCAGCAGGTCATAAACAGAGCTGTATTCTCTGATTTGCTTTGAGCTTGAAGTGGTTTATAAATGTCAAATGAATAAAAATATATTTATTTTTTTCTTTGTGACCTCCTTATCAAACACTCAGCTATTTGTGTAACAGGTGATTTAACCAAAACACTGAAAAAAATTGAAGCTATGATTATATATAAATCAAAGGTGATTTACTGATATAGTGTAAGAAAAAGCAAAACAATCTATTTTTAAAAAGAAAAAAAAAATTGCACCCCCTCAAGACACACTTACACATTCACACACACACACACCAACGATCCATGCTAATTAAATAAAACAGACCTTTAGGTAATCTGCATTCGCTCCCATTAGGCTACTTAGAGCAAATTAGTTTCCAGCCTTGCATGGGAGCTTTCAGGCTCGTTTCCAGTGAAAATTTGAGCACTCTAGCCTGCAGACCATTCAGAGCAGTAAGCCAATGAACCCTCTGGCTCGAGGATTACCAGCCCAATCCCCCACAGCTCAGAGATGGTCAGGAAACTGAACGGAAATAAGCAGGGATAAATAACCGTATGAGGAATGAGGCGAGGGAACGAAGCCATGCCAAGGACAGTGTTGGCCGTGTTGGAACACATGCAGTCAGTGAAGTGCAGATGGCAGAGATGGATGCCACCCAGAAGTGAGTTTGAGAAGTGGGACAGGGAGTACAAGAGGAGTTTCAGGGTGAGCAGCACACTGTATACTGTCGTTTGTTGAAATGACTGTAATTTATTACAGGTCTTTGAGTGACCTTTTAACTGAGCGCTCACCCACTGAGACTCCAGTAGACCTCAGACTGCCAGTGTTACACTGTGGGCTGAATCAATCCACCCACTGCACACTGAGAAACTCTGCTCACTCTTGAACTTTAAGCACTTTAGACAGAGAGATATGCTAGCTGCGCTGCCTATGCCTTCCTACGTCTTGTCTTCCATCCCTGTCCAAACACCCATTAAAAAGTTTTGTGTTTTTTTTCTTGCTAGTGTCAGCTTAATACTCAGATGTTGGGAAAGAAAAACCCTTGAGTGATCATTAAAAATCTTTTTTAAATATTCAATAAATTTCTTCCCCAATTTTGTAAAACTTTTTTGGCTTTCAAGACCATCATTTATGGAAAACAACAATGTCACTGGAATCATTGCACTCTGCCCCACATCAGCTCTCCATGATCAGAGAAGTGGGCATCTTTTTACAGTGCAGGTGCAGAGAAGTTACACAAGGTTGCCTTAACAATGTAGGTTTAAAAATATGCCTCATCTAGTAAGATTGGGAAAAGTCTGTTATGTTTTTATTTTTAAAGGAGTTCCATCCATGGATGTGACTGCCACTTAAATTACGCAGTAGTAAGTTTTTAATATTCTCTCATTTAGCGCCAACAGAGGGAGTAAACTATCCCGGCTAACAGTGCAATACTGCCAGATCATCAATATGCCAAAATTCTATGGAGAGATCATGACAAAAAAAAAGCCATTTGTTCAGACTTTCTCCAAACAAGGTAAGCATAATGAAGCTGTGCATAGAGGCTTGAGCTTAACCAGTATTTGAAAAGTTAAAAGGGGTGGAGCTACCCCCGTTTACATTGTTTACATTGTCTGAGGCATGTTCAGAAAAAAAAGAAAAAAAAAAAAAAGAAAAAGGCAATTCATCAAAAAGGTAGTGTAGAAAATGAAGCAGAAATTATTTTTCGTAATCCCCCACTTCATCCGGCACCAGGTCGCAGGGGAAGCAGTTTTAGCAGACACTCCCAGACTTACTGCACCACAGACACCTCCTCCATCTCTGCTGGAGGAAGCCTGAGACGCTCATAGACCAGCCGGAGACATAGTACCTCCACCAGGTCCGGTTGCCCCCTGGGCAACCTTCCAGTGGGACATGCTTGGAACATTTCCCAAGGGAGGTGTCCTGGGGGCATCTGAAAAAATGTCAGAGCCACCTCAGCAGACTCCTTTTGATGTGGTGAAGAAGTGGCCTTACTCTGAGGATGACCGAGGTCCTCAACCTATCTATAAGGGAGAGTCCAGCTACCCTGCAGAGAAAGCTCATTTTAGCCGCTTGTATCTGGGATCTCATTCTTTTGGTAATTATTCAGATTTCATTACTATAGGTGAGGGTAGGAATGTAGACCGACTGGTAGATCAAGATCTTTGCCTTTTTGCTCAGCTTTCTCTTCACCACAACAGATTTCTCCCCTCAGTCATGAACAGGATCCCAATAAACTAAAATTTCTCCAATTGAATCAGGAACTCTCCTCCAACCTGAAGGTGACAAGCCACCTTTCTCCAGCCGAGAACTATGTGTAACTTGGAGGAGCTGATTCTCATTTGGCCGCTTTACACTTGGCTGAAAACCGTCCTAGTGCATGCTATAGGTCTTGTCAGGAGGGAGCCACATCATCCACAAAAAGCAGGGACAAGATCCACCAGTCACCAGACCACTCTGGTCCTTCGCTGTGCCTATGGACGGCAGCCCTATGGGAGTCATGCATGCACTGGAAATAGGTCTGACTTAATACCGGCAATATGGAGCTGGGTCTCGTTCCATTGTAGAGACCGAAGGGCCCCTAATAAAGAGCCACCCAAGGAAAGAAATAAATCTCTTGGTAAGAGTGCCAAATAATGTAGTAAAATATAAAAAAATATATATACACATTTGAAGGGGAAAAACACATTTTAAACATGGTTTGGTCACAATGAATATAAAAGAAGAAAACTTGCTAGGGGAAAAAATAGTATAAAATTCACTTCTGTTAAATTAATAAATACAAAAATAAGGATGAAGTGGCATAAACAAAAAATAAGGGTAATATCACAGAGAGGAATTACAACAACTCATGAATAGGTCTGTTATTTAATAAATAAATAATACATTTTTATCATTTTGTTGCATTTAACATGACAATAATATAAATGTCTTGCCACTTTGTGGTCCAACAATTATTATGAGTGATTTCTTTATGTATGCATTCTTAATTATACCAGGAATGTCGCTAAATACTGGGAAACATCCAACCTCTTCAATGTTGGATCAGGATCAACACATTCGTCTTAATTATTATCAAATTAATTATTTAAACTTAAACCTCTATTTCCTTAGATTGCGAAAAAGATGTGTATTAAAAGTATAGTGTTTGTCTAAAACAACTATTAAATTTAAAGTTCAATAGAACACTATTTTCTCTAGTTTATCTGAGTTACTCATTTGATTGATTAAAGAATTGCATGTGTTCCCCCTGCATGAGAGAAGGTCTAGAACCCAAATTGATCGCTTCATGTCTTTTAACTTAAAGATCACCTCTTCTTACTTCTCTTTGTATTTTCTACTAAAGTTGGTGTCTGTTTGGCTTTGTCTTTCATCTTGTCTGGTGACCCAACTTCAGCCCCCTCTTTTTTTACAATGTTCTGAACAAAGAACGATCAGATGCCGTTGATTTACTCTTTGTCATTACATCCTTGTTTTACCACAACAGTGGCAGAGTACCTACAGAGAGACTGATTCACAGAGGCACAAACACAACCAATTACTCTTTAATGTCAACAAGTGAGAGTAAATTCAGCTGGCAGCCTTTTCCAACACTGATGTATGCCACTGCCCCCATTATTGCTGGATGAATAAAGACAGCTGAGTATTATCCGAGCAGCTTTAAATCAATATGTTTACTTTTGCAGTATGTTACTCAGTGCACAAGGAACATTAAAGCTAATGATTTGGCACAAAGGCACCAGTGATATGAAATTAGTGAACACTTTAGCACATTGCAGATGTGTGTGTTCAGAATTCTGTGACTACTGCTTTGTTGTGTGACTACGCTCATTGGGGAGAAGGAAGCACAAAACTGTCAGTTTTTGAGGATTAGCCGTCACATGAGGGCAGGTGCTGCACTCCCGGTGTAGACGCTTCATGTTTCCAGGAGCTTATCTGAAAAAGCCAGGACAGGGATGCAAACCACACAAACACCCACACGAGGTCTTTTACTCAGACACAACTTCATCCTGACTGTGGAGGCTCTGCAGGCAGCTGCAAGCCTTGATTGGCTCATTTCTAACCTCAGAGGGTGTTATTCCTGCAGGTTGTGCCGCCAGTGATTTTGCCATATTTGTGTTCACTTTTTAACTTAAAGGCTGTCATGACCAAACATCCCTCACACTGTCTCTCTGCATCTCTAACTGCATGCTAGCCTGGATTCTGATCTGCTCTGTTAGAAAAAGTTCAGTTCATATCAGCTCATCTGCCATCCACTATCGGTCTCGGTAACGTGACAAACCTCATGCGTAAAATCCTGCACAGATGACTTCTGAAGTTGTAATTCATTTCTTGTGGCTGTGTGGTGCCTGTAAATAACTGTATGCCAGGAGATCATCACAACAAGGCTTTAGAAGTGAAAAATTAATTATTGCCCTGCATATATGCACAAAACTTGCCAGTATAATTTTACTCTTTCATATTGTTGCTTACTTTCCATTTTTGACTGTTGTTGATGGAATCACATTTATGCAATTCCCCAATACCTTAATTTGAATAATCAACAAGAAAAAAAAAATCTTAAACAGTAACTGCCTACAATATTTGCATCTCCTGACAATTTCTGTTAGCTCCTGACATCCTGTGCTTTGAAAAACTGGAATCATTATTAAGTCTCTCAGCTATATTGACTACATATATTGTATGTTATGCAAACTCGGCTTTGCAAATATGAGATGCCACTGTATAAATGTAGCTCCTGATTTATTGCCCAATTTTCCAAAGAGAGAAAAAAAATCATATTTGCAGTGTTTCTGATTATTTTTTCTTGTAACAAGCAGATTGGGACATTCATGCAAAAGACACAAAGGTTAATAAACTTTTGTATTAGCAGAGAGATGAAGCCAATAGTGTTAAGGTGAAGGCAAGCAACAAGACGGTGGCACAGCAAAGAAAAGCTGAGAAAAGATGGACTAGAGAGTAAATGTATTATATATTCTATTTTTTAATCCATAGTTCAAATAGACCAACTCTAAATGTATCAGCCTTTAACCTTAAGCAAAAAAACTCAGCATTTAATTTCAATATTTTTGTGGGGAGCAAACTTTAGCCAAAAGACCTAAGTAGTTTAGGCTGCTGATTAAAAGTAATTTTTATTGTGTTTTTGTGGGAATCCACCTTTACTTGCTTTTGTTATTCTTTTTGTTGCCCACTTGATTTATTTGTTATAAAAATGTCTAGTTTTTTTCTGCTATTATTTTTCTTACATTTTCTTATCTAATTATAAATGATAAATTGTATTTTCCAAGTACTGAATTGTTCTATACAAATAAACTTGCCTTGCCTAGCCTTGCCTTAAAGTCTCCCCTTTGAGATATTGGGAAACCGTTTAAGTACTTTAAAACATGTGTAATGTGCTATATTTTTTACAGTTTTAGGTAACTGTATTCTGGTTTAACTGCAACTTATCGACTTTGTAGACAGACCTGTGTAGACTCTGTTGAAGTAACCAGTTTAACTAAAAAACATGTTGATTCTGCTGAAAAATTTACACTTTGATCCTGGTAATAATTATCAAGGGCTGGAAGGTGAACTCTCACTTTCTTGGTGGTATAACATCGATATCTGACCACAGATATGAAAGGACCTGTAAATTCTTAGGAATGTACTTCACTTTTGAAACTTTCGTCATCTTAGTATTTGATTAGGTATTTTCCTTTATTTAAAGTATGTTTTCTGGTGCATTAAATAGTAATACATATGCTAGTAATTTTATCTTGTATCCTCCAGGATGTGGGAAAATAAGGACACATCAGCAAAGATAAGCAGCTCCAGTAGCAGTGAGTGTGATGTCATTACCACCAAAGTCACTGCAGATTATCAGTATGTAGCAAAAGCAAGGAGGGAAGAGATAGAGTGGGGAAAAATAAAAGAGACAAAATCTGTTGTGGTTCCAAGCAATGATTGACTGAGATCTAGGATATCATAAAATGCCTCCTGAGCCTGTTACCTAAGGTGACACATCAGACTCTGTTCCTGATCCCAAACAGTCCTGGTTGTCAGAGTTAAATAAAAGCAAGCTGAGCAAACAGAAAATAGTGTGATGTGTCGGAGTCAAACTGTGCTAATCTAACCACTTGGGTGTTAGAGGTTGGATGGGAGGGAGGGGATCCTGGACTTTTGGGTAAATCAAACTTCAGAAGAATGACAGTTTTAGAAGAACATGAAAACTAAAGATAATCTATTTAGATTAATCAATATCTTTGGGTCAGGTAACAATCAGGCCAAGGCTTGGCATGTTAAATTGAGTTGAGCCTAAAATAAAGGGTTTAATGACAACAAAGGGTTTAATTTACAATCATAAATCATGTTTTCACATAGAGCCAGGTCAGTTTAGTTAGCTTATATCCCTATTCACCGTTTGAAAGATATCTTTTGATTACTTTTGTGGTAGAGAGCAACTTTTTTATAAGAGTCTATGCATGTACAGTAATATGCTTATAGAAAACATAAAAGACCTTATGGTTATGTCAAAATAGAACAAAATACTGTGTAGGCTACTGTGTATATTGTGTCTACTAAGGCTTAATCTAAATACTTCAAATTGCAGCCCCTACATCCTGTTTCTAGCTACTATCCCATCACCATTTGCAGGGTCAACAGCTAGAACACTTTCTGGAGTAAGAAAGAAGCTACGGATTGCTTTGGTGAATCCAAACAAGTCTGATCTTCACTGACATCATTATGACAGACATGCACATGAAATACACTGGTAAAATCAGGACTGCAGCCTTTACGAAAAGAGGTTTAAAAACATTATTTATATATTTATACAATATTTTATTGTTTATCTTTTAACTCTTCACTATTATGTATTATTATGTTATTCTTATACATTTTTCTAAGGTATTTGTGTG